CCCAGCCCAGAGCTGGCCAAACCTCCTCATTTCTGCTGAATAAATCCAAATTCCCCAGGGATTGAGGAACCTGGGAATAAAGGAGCCTGAAAATTTAACACAGGAGCAGAGCACCACAAGGGAAAAAATTGTGCCCATTTCTATTTCTCAGATATCAGGTCTAAGAGGGAAATTTAAAAAAAAAAAAATTCCATCAGAATTGTCTGAAATATTAACCCTAAAGTTGACAGCTGGGATTAAACAGCTGCTAAGGCTGGTTTGGCTTTCAGGTTGAGATTTCACTCAATTCTTGCTTGTTCAAATTGTACAAAAGCCACGGTTTGCCTCAAAAAAATAAAGTTAATTCTCCCTGCCGTGCCCTCAGTGTGAATTCCACTTCTTTCATCCCAATTTCCACTTCTTTTCCTGTTTCCTGCTGGGCTGTGGAGGGGCTGGGCTGCAAAGCCAGAATTCCCCAGCACAATCTCACGGGTGAAATCTGAGCCTGCAGTGCTGCATTCACGGAATGTTCTCGCAGAATTTCAGAGAAATGATTTTTTTTTTAGCGGCCAGCCATTGAAATTGGCTTCTGTTTAGCAGGCAGGGTAATTAGCAGAGATAGGAACACGATTTATCAGCGCACAGCACACAATAAAATCCTAATTAGTGCTGGAAATGACTGCTCAACTCCAATCTCTTTGTTGATCCATCTATCTCCTAAGATTACAGCCTTGGATAATAAATATGAAATTGCATTTAAATATCCCTGTGGCACCTCTCACGTCCCAGATCATCCCCACGTGGCTCCTGCTGCTTTGTCCCATCCATGAGCCTCATCAGTGGCATTTCCATTAATTTTTAGTCCATTGAGCAGCAAAATGAACATTTCCTTTAACACCGTATTTTCCCTAAAAAATAAGGAATTTTTTTTTAAGTGCTGAAAAATAAATGCGCACACACACACAAAAAGCTAAAAACTTAAATTTGACAAAAACAACCAGAACTCTGCCTGGAGAGAAAGAGAAGGGGCTCTGAGGATGAGCTTTGAGGCCACATCTACAAAACCCTGAGCCCAGCGTGAGCTGAATGCTGTTCCTGGCAGAGCTGAGCTCTTAAAACATTGATTAATCACCAACACAGCCATTACAGCTGCATAAAGCCCCGTTTAAAACTTCCCCACCCTTCCCCTGACTGCCTGGAATCCCTGAGTTTTTATTGCTGTGCCATCTCACCTCAAAAAAAAAAAAATAATTAAAAAAAAAAAAATCAGAACAGCTCCAACTTTTTGGATTGGAGATGATTTCTCACTGAAACATCTTCCTGTGGGTTAAATTTGCTCCATTTCCATCCCACCAAAAGCCCAGTGCTGCAGAGTGAGGTGGGGATTCTGGCAAAATTTACAGGGACAGAGCTGTTTAATCCTTTGTCCCATTCACGGAATTTCTGGGTACATTTATTTTTATTTTTTGTTTAATCCTTTGCCCCATTCACTGAATTTCTGGGGTTTTTATTTTTTGTTTAATCCTTTACCCCATTCACTGAATTTCTGGGTTTTTTATTTTTTGTTTAATCCTTTGCCCCATTCACTGAATTTCTAGGTAAATTTACTTTTATTTTTTATTTAATCCTTTGCCCCATTCACTGAATTTCTGGGTACATTTATTTTTATTTTTTTGTGTAATCCTTTGCCCCATTCACTGAATTTCTAGGTGCATTCACCAGCAGAAATTGAGTTTTCCACACCAGTGTACAAACAATTTCCGGGGAAAAGCCACGAAATGCCCCCAACCCCCATCCCCAGTTGTTCTCCTCATTTTTCAGACTTCCATGCTCTGTTTCCACTTGGCCTCCCCTCTGCACAGAGTAATTAATTGGTACCAATTAGCACCAAGCACAAGCAAACACCCTAATGAGCTTTACCCAGGGCGGGAATTGCTGTCAGGGGGTCCCTGGGCTGCCTCTGCTCTGGGCTCTGGAAAATGAGGGAATTTTGGGGATTTGGGGGATTTTGGGGCAGGGCCAGCTCCTTTTCTCAGCGCGCTTCCCCAATTTTGTGCTCCTTGTTCAGTTCCCGTGCCCGCCTGATCTCCCAAAAAAATCACCTTGAGGAGGGAAATTCCAATTTCCCAGTGGGGCTGGGAGGTGCAGCTGGAGCCCTGAGCTCAGCGTGTGGATTATTTATTAACTCCTTCATTGTCTGGGCCACAATGGGCTGTAAAAAGCCAGCCCGAGGAGTGGCTCCTGAGCCTGAGCAGCAGAAGTTGGTGCAGTTCCTCTCTCTGCTGCTCCTTTTGGGCTCTTAATCCCCCCAGGTGGGATCAGTTCCACCGCCAGAGCTGCACCCTCGGTCCTCCCTTGCCCACTGTGCTTCAAACACAGCAAAAAAAATAAGATTTTTCCTCCTCCAGTGAGGCAGAATGGGGGAAAAAACCTCCCTAAACTGAAAATGTAAATGAAAATAAATTAAAATAAAAAGGAAAGCTGCTGTTGGACAGATTTCCTGGGCAGCCTCAGCCTTTGCTTTTGGTTGACAGAAGCAGATGGTGCCACAGGTATTAAATTCCATCAGCTGCTTGCACAGCCAGCCCCTGCCCTGGCATTAGCTCAGAAGAGGAGCAGTTTTATGAAAATCACAGAAACACAAATACCATGGAAGCCCTTGCTCTGTTCCCCTGAGAACAGCACATTCAAATAAATAATTTCTTGTGCCCGGGATGTTCCCGCCCCCCCGCCCAGCTCTTGACAAAACCTGATTTGATTTGAGCGTGTGGCAGGAGGCAGAGCTGGGTTTTTCAGCCCCACTAAACACAACTGGGCGCTTCCAGTGACATTTCCTGTCATTATTCCCCTGCCGTTCTCATTTCCAGGCACTAAAGCTGGCAGTTCTGCTGGGATCAGCTGGGACCTCTCCTGGCCCCCACTGTCACCTGAACCGCTCTCCTCAAAGCATTCATCACTCAGTAACTCAGGCAGAGCTTAATGTTTAATTCTGGGAGTTCATTCCCTGCCTGAAAACCCTCCCTGCCCCCCTCAGCTGGGAATTTGGAATCGCACAGAGGATTCCCTGCAGAGCTGCAGACCCCTCTGTGTGGCCACGCTTCGAAGGACGAGTCTGGACTCTCAGGGTTTTCAGTCTTCAATCTTAAGCCCCTGACCCCCATGTACAGAATTCCAAACCCCCTGTAAAAGGTCCAAAACCCCCCTGTACAGTGCTCCAAAATTTTTCCCTTCACCCTGTGATTGCTACTGCTATGCTACTTAAACTTTTGGGACCTGTAATTCTTCATACAAGGTTGGTAATTTGCTCCATGGGTTGAGATCAAATTCCCAGGTGTCTTTGGCTTCCTACCAGGGTCTCTGAGCCCCTGCCAGGGCTTTGAGCCATCCAGGGCATCCAGAGAGATGTCCTGGCTTCCAACACCACTGAAATCCCAATTTCCACTCCAGCCCTGCTGTTTCCAGCCCCTTTCACCCAAACCACTGCCCAGCCACCCAATTTATTCCATTTCCCCAGAGCTGCAGCCATTTAAATCCGAGAGATCAGAATAATTGCCGCAGCTCAATCTCCACAGCAATAAACAAAACCACTCGGGCTGCCGTGGGGCTCTGCCAGGGCTGTGGAGCTGCAGAAATCCTCAGGAGCCTGGGCTGCTTTTTCTGCCTCCGTGCCAATAAAAGCAGCGGGCTGTGCTGTGCAGATGTAAGGTTTGTTTGCTTGGCTTTTGCCAGCAGCTGAACGGATTCCTGCTCTGATAAAGAGAGCACATGATGCGTGTGAGTGTCCGTGACTCAGGGCAGCCGGTGAATCAGCAGCACCGGCGCTGAATTTACAACATTTCAGCCACAGAGCAGCAGGAGGGGTCAGGGCGGCTGCAAACATGACTGCTTCCACTTTTGGGGAGAGAAAATAAGCAGGGAAAAGGGGCAAATGTGCCAGCTGAGTGTTGATTTCATCCAGGGCACTGAGCACTCTCTGCTTGGCTCACGCTGCAAGGAGCCTGCAGCCAAAAATCCCTCAAAGCACCACCTTTAAAAAGGAACAGAATTCCCCAAAGCTGGAGCTCCCAGGGCAGAGGTTTTGCCCTGCCAAAGGGAATATGCCTCATTTTTTTTCCCAGTTCCCTTTCTGAAGCTGAACCAGGGCAGGGGCCAGCACAGAAGTGTCCCCAGGTAAAGCAGCCCCCATTTTTTACATTCCAGAGCAGTTTTAAAGCAGCCCAGGTATTTTTTGGCAGTGCAAACCCCACTTTACCTCGGCCTGGAGCAGAGTGTGGCCAAGGTGAACAATTAGGCAAGCTTCATTAAACCTCCCCAAAGGGATGTTTGCTCTCATTATTCAAACACCCATTTCCTCATGAAGCAAGGGAACTGCTGCCCCGCTTATCAGGTTGTTTTTTTTTTAATTATATGCATTAAGTTATTTTTGATGGCCATTCCTAATGACTCCTGAGGACATTGCTGATGTGACAAAGGGAATCACACACAGCACTGCCACTGCTGCCTCTGGACAGACACTGGGACTGACGGCCTTGAACCACGGGAATTGTGGAATACCCATCCCCTCGCTGCTTTCCCAGCGTGCCCCCAGCTCCAGGAATAGCCAGGATCATTGGGGTAGGGTCCTGCAAACTCCTCCCACAGCCTCATCCTGCTGCAACCACCTCCACAGAATTTTGGGGTTGATTTAAGGGTTTATTCTTGCACTCCCTCCCCAGGGCTCTGCTGCCACTGGGGCTGTGACATTGCCCCTGCAGTTTCCTCGGTTTTCCACTCTCACCAACACCCTCCTCCCTTTGGCTCTCCAGTTTGGATCAGAAGTGCTTTTTTTGCTGCCCACTACACCAGTTCCACACAAGGAGAAAGTTCTGCTGGCCACAGGAAGAAACGTGCCTGCAGCACAGGAAATAAACTGATAAGAAGCAAAAAAAAAAAAAAAAGGTAACGTAGTTCTCACTCTCAAAAATGCTTCTCTGTTTGATCAAGAAGCAAAGCAACACCAAATCTCACATTATCAAATACTATAAATTAATTCAATATTTAATCAGAGAGAAATCAAAGACTCTTGTGATTTTGCCAGGCCACCTCCTCTCCCCAAATCTGCTTTATTTACCACGGCACAACTCTAAATTTCACACCAACTGGCAAAACAGGAAGGTCTTGAGGAAAAGCAGAGAAACCAACCCATTCTGAGGAGCCAGGTGGGCAAGCTGCTGCGAGGGTCCTTGTGAAACATCTGCAGTTGTCCTGCTGTAACACAGAGCCAGGGCTGGCTGCAGGAAACGCTGAGCAGGGATCCAGGAGCTGACCACGGAGCACGAGCTCAGGCTGACCTCACTTGACAATCGTTTCTTCTCCCTTGTAAACGACCACGTTCTGCTCCGTCTCGTGTACCTCCACCTTGTAAAGGATGCCCTGGGGCAGGAGCTTCTGGAGGCTGTCCCAGATGAACACGGCCATGTTCTCCGTGGTGCTGGGGGGGAAGAGCAGCAGGGTCAGAGCTGAAAGGGCAGAAACCACACCAACACCTGAGGCAGCTGCAGCCAGCACGGGCTGGGGGGATGCTGAGGGGCAGCTGAGGACACCTGGGCTACGTGGGGATTTGTGGCACTGCCAGCAGATGGGGGTGGCACGGGCGGGATGGGCAGGTCCTGCCTGGCCAGGCTGATGTGACGAGGGCAGCAGGGCTGGACACAGGTGTGCTCAGCACTCAGGTACAGGCTGCTGCTCCCCAGGTAGGACCAGCCCCTCCAGGAGCCCCCCTGACCCACCTCACCACCTCGGAGAAGTAGGGCACATCCTTGTCCAGGTTTTTGTGGTCGAGCGGCTCCATGATCGCTTCCTGCAGAGAGAGGACGGTGACAGCCCTGTCCCTGCCTGGCCTGAGCCTCAGGGAACCACACACAGCCAGGCAGCAGGGTGGGAAAAAAGGGAAAGAGCCCCAAATCCAGCTGGGAGATCCCCAGCTGGAGACGTGGCACTGCCTCACATTAACAGAGCTAAGGTGTTTAAGTCTGCAATTATTCCCTAATTTCTTTTTGATGCCCTGCCATCAGCAGCCCACCACGTCTCCGTGCTGGTACCAGACAAGCTCTGATCATTTCTCCCAGGGGATTAGAAGGAGAACTGGGCTGTTTTTACCTGCATGTATTCCTTCAGGTCTGTCAGGTTCATCACCATCCCCGAGACTGGGTCAATCTGCAGGGAAGCACAAGGAGGATTGGTGGCCTGGCAACACAAATCAGACAGGAGTGTCTGTGCTCAGCTCGTCTGAGCCACAAGGAAATTATCTTCCCACTGTCAGAGGGCTGCAGCTCCTCTCCTGTGATGTTCCCAAGGGCTTGGCACAGCCTGGAAACAATTCCAGAGGTTCCAGCCTCTCCTAAAAGCTGACACCAGGCAGAGACAGCTCACTGGAAGAGTCTTCAAGCACAAAAACAGCATTAAACTGAAAATCCTTGCTGTGAACAGGACAGTGACCATGGAAAACTTCTCTAGTGATGTGCACAGTTTCTGAAATACTCTGGGAAATCCAGGCATGGGCCAGAGCTGTGGGGATTCTGCCCCACTGAGGGACACAGAAAGATGCTGGTTGCACTCACCTCTCCACGCACGGTGACCACAACTGAAAAAAAAGAAAAAATCAGGTCACTGTGATGCCCATGAACCCAAAACCAGATCAGCTGCTGCTGGGACACACAACCCCTTCTCTGCCCACCCACAGGGTGCACTCAGGAGTGGGACTGCTTCTAGAAAATGAGGGGATGATCCATAAAAACAGTGACCCAGAGGCACAAAAATCCCTCCCCAAGGTCTGCTGCCCCAGGCAGGTGGAGATAAGCCTGTCTTCCCTGATGAAGCAGCTCCTGAGCTGAGGTTTCAGGGTGCCAACAACACAGGGAGCCACTCCAGGAACTGGAGAGATCTAATTCTGTGTGCTTGGGGTGTACAAATGGGAGAACTCGTGAAAAAACCCATTCAAATAATGTTTACAGGCTGTTTAATTTGCATGCCTTTTGCTTAGAAAAAATCTCCATTCCAATCACAATGACTCTGCAGAGTGTAAACAAGCAAATCTGATTCAAGAAGTGGCATTTGAAGATAAATATTTATTATCTATTCAGCTGAAAAATGGCAAATCCATGCTATGGTTCAGTACCCTGCTGCTGAAATTTCCTCCTAATTCTTAATAAAAACACAAACCCAGCCACTAAAAGCTGTATTAGGCTGCTGAGGATGAGTGGCCCAGCCCTCGTGGGGGTTACCCCCACCCTGAGAGCAGCAGCACTCCGTGAGCAAGGATGGAAATCATCTTCCTACCTTTGTAGTTGTGTCCGTGGCCATTTGGATTGTTGCACTTCCCAAACAGCTTCAGGTTCTCCTCGTCACTCAGGGCTTTACTGTGGGAAAGGCAGGCATGGATTTGTTCCAGATCTTCATGGATTCACTCAACTCTGCTTTCCAGCTCTCCATCTCTTCCCTCTCCCACATTTAACCAGCCCAGGAGGCACAAACACAGCCAGAGTGTCTGGGCCACGAAAAGATGCTGTTGACAGCAGTGAATCTTTCCTTGCTGTGGTTTTGTGTCTGTTTCACAGCATCTGCCTGACACCACTGCTGGATAAATGTTCAACATCTGGGCCCAAAATCACTCAGGCCTGGAGCAAGCCACATTTGGGTTTATTGCTGATTAACAAAGCTTAGGGAGCCTCTCCAATGAGTACAAAGGATTTCCCTCTGAATTTTCCCTCTGAAGCTATCCAGGGCTCTGAGTGTTTCAGGTCAAGGCACATTTTGGGAGCAGCACAGAATCCCAGGATCACTGAGGCTGGAAAAGAACAGTGAGATCACGGAGCCCAAGCAGACCCAGAGCACTGAGTGCCACATCCAGGAGCTCCTTGGGCACCTCCAGGGATGGGGACTCCCCAGACAGCCCCTTCCAAGGCCTCACCACGGTTTCCATGGAGAAATCCCTCCCGATCTCCAGCCTAAACCTCCTCTGCCACAGCTCGAGGCTGTTTCCCCTTGTCCCTTCGCTCCTAGCCTGGGAGAAGAGGCCGAGCCTAAAACCTCCTTTGAGGCAGTTTCAGGTCAAGGCATAAATCAGTTTTGGGGGGAAAACCAGCGGATCGGGGGGCGCAGGGCGATGCTCACAAAGCGAAAGCGCCGCCGGCTCTGTGACAACACGGAACTGCAGCCGGGCACGGGCGGACGGCCGCGGGAAGGGGCCGGGCCCGGGACAGAACCGGGAAGAGAGAGCGGGCTCGGAGCCTCCTCCGGGCGGGGCTCCCGGTGCGGGGCCGCTCCCGGTGCGGGGCCGCTCCCGGTGCGGGACCGCTCCCGGTGCGGGGCCGCTCCCGGTGCGGGGTTCACCTGTACGGGACCGCTCACCTGTGCGGGGTTCACCTATTCGGGATTTACCTGTTCGGGGCTCATCCGTGCGGGGCCCTGTGCTCCGATCCCCCCTGTGCGGGACCACTCCCCTGTTCGGGGTTCACCCGTTCGGGGTTCACCTTTTCGCGGTTCACCTGCTCGGGGTTCACCTTTTCGGGGCTCACCTGTTCGGGGCGCTCACCTGTGCAGGCGGTGGCAGGCGCTGAAGGTGACGGAGCGCGACAGCCGCGCCAGGCGGGCGGAGCGCGGCGACATCCCGGGGACGGAGCGGGGACGGAGCGGGGCGGCTCCAGCCCGGCCCCGGGGGCGGCTCCAGCCCGGCCTCATCCCGGCCCCGGGGCGGCTCCAGCCCGCGGGATCCGCCCGCCGGGACCCGGGGATGCTCCGGCGCCGCCGTGTTCGGCCCCGGGATGCTCCGGTCCCTCCGTGCCGGTGTCGGACCCCCGGGATGCTCCAGTTCCTCCTCGTGTTCAGCCCCGGGATGCTCCGGTCCCCGGTCCCGGAATGCTCCAATATCCCCGGGATGCTCCAATCCCCCCGTGTTCAGTCCCGGGATGCTCCGGTCCCCCATGTTCGATCCCGGGATGCTCCAATCCCCCGGGATGCTCCAATCCCCCCGTGTTCAGCCCCGGGATGCTCCAAAACCCCCGGGATGCTCCAATCCCCCCGTGTTCAGCTCCGGGATGCTGCAAAACCCCCGGGATCGCTCCGGTTCCCCCGTGTTCAGTCCCGGAATGCTCCAAAACTCCCGTGTTCAGCCGCAAAACCCCCGTGTTCAGCCCCGGGATGCTCCAATCCCCCCGTGTTCAGCTCCGGGATGCTGCAAAACCCCCGGGATCGCTCCGGTTCCCCCGTGTTCAGTCCCGGAATGCTCCAAAACTCCCGTGTTCAGCCCCGGGGATGCTCCAAAACCCCCGTCCAAAACTCCCGGGATGCTCCAATCCCCCCGTGTTCAGTCCCGGGATGCTCCAAAACCCCCCGGGATGCTCCAAAACCCCCGTGTTCGGCCCCAGTATGGCTATGGACATACCTGAAGGAGCGCACCCCGGCAATAACATCCCCGGAGCTCAAGCAGAGGAACCCTTAAAGTGCGGTGATTTTCAGAAAGCTTTGGGAGAACGGGGAGAAGCTGGTTTTCTCAGTGCTGCAAGGGTCTGAATGCACATTCCCTTATTTCCCGGGAATTCCCGGCGGTAACGGAGTGAGGCGGTTTGTCAGGGTGGGAAAAGCCCGAGCCTCGGGGCAGGATGTGTGCGAGAGGAGCAGGATCCGCAGGAGCTGCCGGGGTGGGGGAACACAGCCTGTGTGCACGGGGGAGCCGAGCTTTAAACAGAGCTTTAAGCAGAGCCTTAAACAGAGCTTTAAACAGAGCCTTAAACAGAGCCTTAAACAGAGCCTTAAACACGGCAGCTCTGGGCACACAGCACGGCCTGCCTCTAATCCACACAAGGTGCCACCTGAACCTCTGACCCCTTTTCGTTTCCCACCACAACGAGAAAAAAAAAAGTATTAAAAGTATTAATAAAGAGAACCGGTGGTGCCTGAACTCCATGAAACACCTCAGCATCGTTCTGCTGCCCGTGCTGGGGGACAGGCTCCAGGAGCAGGGCAGGAGGTGACAATGACCAGAGGCTGCAGGGCAGGGCTGAACGGCAGGAGCGGGAGCTGTTTGCCATCTAGTGGCTTCCACCAGCTCTGGCTGAGCCTCCTCTGCCTCTCCCAGAGCAGCAGCCCTGAGGTAAAATCCTTTTTCTTTTCCCCAGACTGTAAGGAAGGTGGAGGAAGCTCAGAGGAGGAAAAGCCCCAAGGGCGAAAGAGCTCCTTTATTATCAAGGAAACGATTCAAATAATTCTTCAGGCTTCTCACAATGAAGAAGTACAACTAGAAGTCCTCACTGTTCACCCACCCACCTACAGCCCAGAGTCCAGCAGCTGGAGAAGCTGGGTGAAACAGGGGGCTGGGGTTTGTCCTGCTCTGCTTAACCCCAGAGGGACAGCAAGGCCACGGGGCAGCTCTCCGTGTTTCCTGCTGGTGTTTCCTGCTGGTTGAACTGGGAGGAAGGCAGGCACTGTCAGCCAGCAGAGCTGGGTCCTGCTCTGGAGATGTGCCCCCCACATCTACAAGACTCTGAGGGCAGGGAGAGAAAGGAAAAACTTCCCAAGGTTTTATTAGAGGGCACTGCTATGGAACAGAAAAAGCACAAGCACAGCTGCTGTGAGTGTCTGCATCTACTCCCTGGAGTCCACTGAAGGCAACCTTGGTGCAAGGGGGGATTTACTCCCCTCCACTGGGCCCACTGTCACTGCTGGGTTTTACTCCTGTCTTCTGCTCTACACATTTCAGCCAAAGTCACAGCCCCGGGTGTTGATGTTCTCTTCCCCTCAGAGCACCAAAGGAAGGGGTTGATCACCTCAATTTCCATTTTCCGCCTTGCAAGCTTCACCCTGGGCATCCTTTGTGAAATGCTGCTATAGCTGGTCTAGCAAGATAGTAAAAACAATGCAGATAAAGCAGTGGGCTGTGGGAGCAAAGGGGCTCCTGCCTTCCTCAGCTGTATTTTGTTAGGAACACAGGAGGTTGTGGTGGAGAAAAAGAGCTCCTTCATCCCAGACGTGATGGAAAGGTGGGAGGTGAAGGCAGCAGAGGTTCTTGCTGAGGCTGGCTCAGCCCTGCGTCCCAGAAGGTGGCCAGGAGCTCCTCAGTGGGCAGTGAAGATGCCGTGGAACCCATAAGGCATTGGCACCCCGACTTCTGCTCGCCCCAGTTCCTGGAAGGTCTCTGCATCCAGGACGAGCAGGAAAGCACTTTGGTTCTGCAGGAGGAGCAGAAAGGCAGAGTGAGTGTCCAGGCTGAACTTCTCTCCACTGTCTGCACACAAAGGCACAAAGCAAACCACGGAGACCAAACCCGCAGGGCAGGAGCTCTGAGCCTCACAGCTTCCACTCAGGACACAGCAACATTCTGGGGAAAACTCCAAGCTGCACTGCCTGTGCTTGGCATGGCAGAGCCAGACACTCTGGGGAGCAAGAACTACCTGCCAGCTGGGCTTTGAGGTTTAAAAAGCGAATTAATGCTGTGTGACTTTGACAAACTACTGCCAGCAAGTTACCTCAGCAGGGGAGACCACCACAGACAAGATGACTCCGCTGTCCTCTGCCGTGGCATTGGGCACTGGCACAAACACGGGCTCTGACGGGTAGGATCCCTCCTCCTGCCAAATCTAGCAAGCACAGGAACATATGGATGAGCTCCAGGGACATATGGATGAGTTTCATTGCATTAATACTTGTCTATAGTGAGCAGAGTTACAAGTGCTCCCCACAAAGGCACCTGGAAATACTCTGGGCTCCAAGAAACTTAAGAGTTTAACTTTTTATTAACTTTTTTTCATTCCAGGAGTGTGCTGGAATCCTCTCCTGTTTGGTGACTGTGCCACGTTCATAAGGTGAGGATGAAATTGGGAATTTCATCCCAGACCCATCTGGGCAAAGCCCTAAAACCCTAGTGAACGTCACACCTTCAAATCCAGTTCAGGGGAAGGACTCGATGAGCTGACTTCACCTCACCTTGAAATTCTTGGTCTCCACATCAACCTTGATCAAGGAATCTCCAAGCAAGTGCCCGAAGCCGCAGCCGTAGAAGTAGCGGTACCTGCGGCCGTTGTACCCCGCGTAGTTGATCTGGGGGAACTCCAGGCCCCCAACTTTCTCAAAGCCCTCAGGGTGGAGATTTTCATGTGTGCACCAGACCTGGGAGAAACGCACAGAAATTGCAGCAGGGTTGGTTCAGCTTGGGCAGGGCAGGAGAGCTGGCTGGTCCCACCAAGCACCGCAAAACCACAGGCGGTGAAAGCTCTGAGGCACGGGGCAGGAGCTGCTGCATAAATGCGTTTATGGTTTGACACAAACCTTGCCATCTGCGCCTTTCACAGCCTTTGCCTGGGTATAAGGCAGTGGGTTCAGGTTTTTCCCCACGGGTGTGTCTGAATCCACGTCCAGAGGGAGAACAAAGCGGCGAGGGAAAGCTCTGGGGACGGAGGCATAGACCTGTCACAGAGACAGAAAGTGGTGCTGATGGAGACAGGACAGACACTTCAGCCTAAATGCACTTCTGGGGAACAATTCCGAAGTTTTAGACACCCCTGAATTCTTCTTCTTCTTTTCCTTATGTGTTTGACCAAGTTCTGGTAAGGTAAAGCACACAATGGAAAGAAGAAGTTCCTGCATGTTCCAGTAATTTACAGCAGAAACCAAAACCACATGAATTAAAAGGGTCAGCACTGCTGTCACAGTCATTAATGCTGAGCTGGGTATGCAAATCAGCCCATTAAAAATCCATTAGCTCCAAATGCAGCAGTGGGACAGACACTGCACTGTGTTTTATTTAGGCAGAACAGGCTTATGCTGCTTTACAGCACTCTGAGGAGAAGCAGGAGAGCACTGTGCCTTCAGTGCCTGAAGTTCCCCTGCAGGATTCCCTCCTCCATGCTCAGGCACCCATGGATTCACAGCTGGAAGTCCAGGGCAGTGATGGTGGATTTACCTGGGGAGCAAAGTGCAGCCCCCAGCGTGGCAGACACTCAGCACATTGAGAGGATAATTCCACCACTGCCACTAAAGCTCTGCCCAAACCAAGTTAATCATATTCCTATTGAAGTAACATAGATAAGGACCCTGTTTTGGTGTCTCTCAGTTACTTCAATCCACAAGTCACCAGTTCAGTTGTGAAACTTCACTTTAGTCACATGTTAATCCAGAAACCACGTTCTCAAAATTTTTGTGGTTCACGTAATCTGGCTGAGGAACTCTGCCAGACAAAATACTCTGCCCAGGGTTAGCGAGCCAGCAAATTTGGGGAAAGGAGACGAGCCATGCCCAGACACTGCTGAGGCTTTTGATGCAGTGAGGTTTGAGATTCTGTTCTGAAATGACTCCTCTGTGTGTGTGGGGGTGAAGTGTGCTGGTGATGCCACTTGTCACTTGAAGAATGTGTCCAGTGCTGACACCAGGACACCTTCAGCCACATCCAATTCCACCTGGGTTGTGCTCAGAGGACCAAAAAAAAAAAAAAAAAAAAAGCTGGGATTAACACTCTGCTGTACTTGACTATGCTCAAAAAATGCTTGAAAACCCCCAAAATAAATGCCAAGAGAAAGCAGAACCCGACAGGACACAGCTGTGCTCCTTTCAGGTCGGAGCTGAGCTGGTTCTAGACAGCTCAGGACACAGACAGAGGAAGTTCAGCCCTGTCTGGACATGCAGCACCCCCCAGCACGCTGGGTT